AAGATATGAGTAGCGCTGTACGGCTGTAACTTTCACAACAAATTCTCTAAACGTTCGTCACATTTTGACGTAAAGATTTCCTGAGACCAAAACCTGTTGTACTCAAAATCATAGTACCGGCTCGCGAAAGTGATGTCGCGTTTTCTGTTCGCGGTTCCTCGGTTAGGTTAGCTTCGGGCAATTTAATATTTTTAGTGATGTTGCGAACGCTCTGGAAAACGGGCCAAAGTATCCTGGCTACCATGTGGGCTAGGTTAAGCACCTGGCTTGTCATGGTCAATGAGGGGTCAAACTTCATTCCAAATAGGTCAGTGTCATCTCTAAACTCTATCTAAATCTCTATTCTCATCTCTAAACAGGTTGTCGAGTTATCATCATCCTCTACATTTTCTGAGCCATAAATGTGCCCTGCAAAACCCTTCCTCATGCGGGTATTGCTGAGAGATGTGATTAATGATTCTTGTAGCAGTTGGAATTTCTTCCGTTTTCCATGAGCAAAGGTTAGAGTGCAGTCGTCAGCATAGGCTTGAAATTCCCGAATGAGGTGTAGTGACCATTTGAAAATGACATTCCACAGCAAAGGGTCAAACACATTACCTTGTAGAACTCTGGCAGTTGAGTTGCTTAAGGGTTCTGTTATATTGAGGACTGCTCGTAGAGACCGTTCTTGAAGGTAGTTCCTCATTAGCTCTGTAATTAAACCAGAAATCCCTAGTGATTGAAGCTTTTCTTGCTAATCCAGAGTGTCAAGCGCACGCCAACAACACAGCTAATCAAGAACTTATCCACTGATTGATGGAAAAAATTAGTGGAAAAAATTAGCAAGAGATCAGCAGCAGATAGACCTCTTTTAAAACCACATTGCATCACATAGTAACCGAGAATGGTACCAAAAGCTACATTTGCTGAGAGTGAAATTTACAAGTTTATAAATATTGTAATGCCATATATAATTTTAATTTATATAGGCAGAAAATGAAATCAAAGACAACAAAACGCAACTACTTCATGCTACAAACGAATGGAGAAACAGCAACATCGACGAAAGTCTCCGTATTCGCATTGAACAACACCTCGACATCCTCACAGACCGACATCACCTCAGCACTGAAACAAGGATAATAAAAAAACTAACAACGTTATATGGAGGACCTATGTCAATTCCACGACCAAGAGAACCTTGCAGGAATCAACCTCACTGAGGACCAAGTCACTCTCCTAAATCTGGGTACAAACTGTCACGTTATGTCCAGACCGAGTGAGATGGCCCGGAAAGTGGAGTTGGAGATTCTGTTGGACGACATATTCGACCTCGAGACACAAAAGAAGGTCACCACCAAAGATACCTTACAAGCAGAACTTATTGCGGAAGGAGGAAAGAATCGAGGCAACTACAGAAACACCATACTGTCCCCCGAGCTCAAAGCGGCAGCTAAGAGCCTTCGTGAGAACAAGGAGATAGTTGTCAGGAGAGGCGACAAGTCGCCAATATACGTCATTCTTAAAAAAGACGAATATCTGGCGAAAATGAACCTTATACTCTCTGACCAAACTAAATTCCAAAGGGTAACGAAGGACACTACAGCCGAATTTTAAGCAAAGGTCAACAAATTGATCGAAACTGTGAACGCCAAGAAATCCGGACTCCACCTGCCAAAGATTATTGGGGAATATAAACCTGGATATGCGTATAGAAATGTCAAGACACACAAGCCTTGAAACCCACTTCGGCCAATCATCAGCCAGATACCCACACCCACGTACAGACTGGCGAAACGACTCAACGGCTTGCTGACTCCATATGTCCCTTACGCCTACAGCCTGAAGTCTCCAAAAGAATTTGTTGACTTTCTGCAGGGAACACGGGCCACAGGGATAAGAGCCTCGTTGGATGTAGAATCACTGTTTATCAACGTACCTGTGGATGATACAATCGGGATGATAGCCGACAGAGTGTATCGTGATCCGGCCTGTACTCCTCTTGACATACCAAAAAACATTCTAAGGAAACTAATCCAAGCTTGTACTAAAGAGGCACCCTTCTTGAGACCGGATGGACACATGTATAAGCAAGTAGATGGGGTCACCATGGGTTCTCCCCAAGGTGTCCTGTTTGCAAACTTCTACATGGGTACCATCGAGCAAAAAGTCTTAGTCGACATGAACTTGAAACCGGCCATATACTGCAGGTATGTTGACGACCTTTTTACACAGGTACATGGTGTCAGACATCTGCAGGAGCTGAAGGAGGCATTTGAGCAGAATTCTGTGTTGCGTTTCACTTACGAGATAGAGAAGGATGGGAAGCTGCCCTTTCTAGATGTAACAGTCATGGAAAGGAGCGGAGTTTTCCACACTGCAGTCTACACTAAGGAAACAAACATAGGAATGTGCCTGAATGCCAACAGTGACTGCCCAGACAGGTACAAGAGGAGTGTTGTTACCGCTTATGTCGACCGTGCTCTCAGCCACAGCTCAGAATGGAAGCAAGTTGACGAAGAACTCTGTAGGGTAAGGCAGGTCCTGGTCAACAACGGCTTCTCCAATGGTTTCGTGGAAGACATCATAAGAAGGAAAGTGAAACGCCATGCAACCACTGAAGAGACAACTAACACAACACCTATACCCCCTATTGGACTATTTTACAGGAACTTCTTTTCCACAGCCCATAAAACGGAGGAAAGGGTCCTGAAAGATATTGTTAGTAGAAACGTTATCCCTACAGAAAAAAATCAGAAGATACAACTGACAATTTACTATTAAACCAAAAAAAAGGCCAGCCTACTCATGAGAAACTCTCCAGACACAAAGCAGAACGCTTTAAAAGAGACCAACGTCGTATATGCCTTCAAATGCCCTCTTGGGGACTGTAAGCCTCAAAAAACTTAGTATATAGGCAAAACAACAACATCTCTTTCCCTACGTTTAACAATGCATAAGCAACAGGGCTCCATTAAGGAACATATAGTCTCTTCCCACAACCAAACCATCACCAGAGAAATCTTAGCAAACAACACAGAAATCATTGATAGATACAGCGATAGCAGGCGGCTTGACATCTGCGAGGCACTACACATCAAGAAGTCAACACCAGCAATCAACAGCCAATTAATGCACAACTATATTCTACCCACTTCAAGACTCCGCTCCAATATAGAAGCATCAAGAAGTATGGGCCAATAAAAATAGGCCATCTGCAGTTACCTACTTTTAATACCTGTTTGTATTTCATTGTTTCGTGTTCTGTCTTGTGTTAAAAGTTTATTTTCACCTCATCCAAAACTATTTTAACATGTCACTTTACTCAAATGTAGGTATAAAAACTCGAAAGATGTTTAAGCTCTATTCAGTTAAAGTTGTGTGTGTGTGTGTAAACTACAGTCTTTGAAAATGTAATAAGTTTTACAAAACGCGCTCAAGTGTCGCGTCATATATATATATATATATATATATGTCGTACCTAGTAGCCAGAACGCACTTCTCAGCCTACTATGCAAGGCCCAATTTGCCTAATAAGCCAAATTTTCATGAATTAATTGTTTTTCGACTACCTAACCTACCTAACCTAACCTAACTTTTTCGGCTACCTAACCTAACCTAACCTATAAAGATAGGTTAAGTTAGGTTAGGTAGGGTTGGTTAGGTTCGGTCATATATCTACGTTAATTTTAACTCCAATAAAAAACAATTTACCTCATACATAATGAAATGGGTAGCTTTATCATTTCATAAGAAAAAAATTAGAGCAAATATATTAATTCAGGAAAACTTGGCTTATTAGGCAAATCGGGCCTTGCATAGTAGGCTGAGAATGCGTTCTGGCTACTAGGTACGACATATATATATATATATATATATATATATATATATATATATATATATATATTGTGCCCGAAATACTTTACATACTATAAGGGCTTTATAAAATATTAACATTCATGTAACAAATATGTCACTGTATCATGTTCCTTTTATGTATATTTAGAGTGATGTTTTAAGTATTACCATATTCGTGCGTGTGTGTGTACCCACCAAGTTTTACTCACCTAGTTTTGCATGCGGGGGGTTGAGCTTTGGCTCTTTGGTCCCGCCTCTCAACCGTATATATATGTGTGTGTGTGTGTGTATGTGTGTGTGTATGTGTGTGTGTGTGTGTGTGTGTGTGTGTGTGTGTGTGTGTGTGTGTGTGTGTGTGTGTGTGTGTGTGTGTGTGTGTGTGTGTGTGTGTGTGTGTGTGTGTGTGTGTGTGTGTGTGTGTGTGTGTGTGTGTGTGTGTGTGTGTGTGTGTGTGTGAGTATTCAGCCTCGTTTTTTTCTCGTCGATCCTCACAAATCCTTTTCGTTACAAAGTATGTTCATATTACAACCTACTAGAGAATGAGGGTTAATTCGGCCCCACCAGCAATAAACAGTTCGACGAACTGAAGGCTCTAACAGTAATCCTTCATCATTTCCTTAATCTCTAAGCCTTGAGTTGAAGCTTCCAGATAACGACTCCATCTCGGGTTATCTACAAAGTTCTTTTTGTTCCTTGTTGTTCTCATAATTCTCTTCGTTGACTGTTGTTTCGCCTTGTTTGTCTTCCTATCTCCTACACCCTCGCTACTCTTGATTTTCTTATTGATTGTACTGGCATATTGTTTATTTTCTTGAGCTGTTTTTTATGATCTTTTTCTTTGTTTTTGTTTCTTCTCTGCTTCTTGCTATTCTTTTGTCCCTCTTCGTAGTTTTTATTTTTCTTGTTCGCATTCTTGCCCTACTTATGTCTCTTCTTCCACCTTCTCTTCCTTCTCATCCACCTTCTTCTACTATGCCTCTTTCCCCATCCTTCGACACCTCCTGCTCCTCTTCCTCCTCTCCCACATCCTCTCTATTCCTGCTCCTCCACCTCTTTCTCATCCACTTCCTTCTCCATACAGCCATCATCTCCTCCCATCCACCATTCCCCAGTCATGCACCTCACTCCACAGGCCACTAACACCATCTACCCCACTACCGCAGGTCCGCCCGACGCCCTCAGGAACTGTACCGTCTTGAACGAGAGCACAGACGCCGTTCAAGTGAGATGCGACGAAGGCTTCGACGGAGGTCTTCCTCAGAGCTTCGTCATGGAGGTCTACGAGACGGAAGGACGCAAGCTTAAGGTGGGAAACAGTTGTCACTCACTTCACAGATTCATTCTTGATTTACTGCGTTACATAGGTGGCGATTTGGTTTATTGATTCATTGGTTAAAACATGATTGATTCGTGTTCTGTCTTGTGTAAATGTCAATTACCTTACCCAGAACTTTTGTACCATAAAGGAATCAGCAATGTCTTTGCTGATTCATTTATTCAATAATTCATGTGAGGTGATTTAAAATTCCTGTTACCCATGAATTAATTCATTGATGCTTGATGCGATTGATTGGTTTATTAGCTCATTGATGTCTTTAACTGACGTGACATTGATTCATTCTTGTATGGATGTGTAAACAAATCCTTTTAACTTGTAGATTTATTTACGAATTAGTTCTAGAGCCAATGCCTTCAGAATTTGAGAATAGGTGCCAAGTTTCATGGTAATCATGGTAGTCGTAAAGATCATGGTACTTTTCTTAGTCATGGTAGTCACCGTACTCATAATTATCCTTGCACACATGGTATTTAATATAATCATGGTAGCCATTGTTGCCATAATGAATATCATTTGGACCATGGAAGCTAAGGTACTAATGATATTCATAATATACATGGTATTCATGGTATTCATAGCTGTCATGGTATGTATGTAATCATGGTGCTCCGGGTAGCCATAGGACTTGTGATAATCATTGTATTCTTGACTACTATAATACGCTATGAAGCATAATAGCTAAGTTCTATAGCATTTTAATTAATCAATCTCTGTCGCACTGTAGTTAAACTTTATAGTCTAGCAGTCAATCTCTGTTAGCCTATCAGTCAAGCTCTGTTAGCCCAGCAGTCAATCTCTGTTAGCCTAGCAGTCAATCTCTGTTAGCCTAGCAGTCAAGCTCTGTTAGCCCAGCAGTCAATCTCTGTTAGCCTAGCAGTCAATCTCTGTTAGCCTAGCAGTCAAGCTCTGTTAGCCTAGCAGTCAAGCTCTGTTAGCCTAGCAGTCAATCTCTGTTAGCCTAGCAGTCAATCTCTGTTAGCCTAGCAGTCAAGCTCTGTTAGCCTAGCAGTCAATCTCTGTTAGCCTAGCAGTCAATCTCTGTTAGCCTAGCAGTCAATCTCTGTTAGCCTAGCAGTCAATCTCTGTTAGCCTAGCAGTCAATCTCTGTTAGCCTAGCAGTCAATCTCTGTTAGCCTAGCAGTCAATCTCTGTTAGCCTAGCAGTCAATCTCTGTTAGCCTAGCAGTCAATCTCTGTTAGCCTAGCAGTCAATCTCTGTTAGCCTAGCAGTCAATCTCTGTTAGCCTATGAGTCAAGCTTTGTGGTGAGAATAGCGGCAACTTAAAATCACCGAAGACATAATCTAGTCAATTAGGACGAAAATTAAGCCATGGGAGGGGAATCTTAGGGAGCTCTAATTGCATGGGTAAAGGTCGTTAATATTAGACGTCCAGCTCCAACCCTCACGGTCAAGAAGGTGACGACGTTCTGTTCTATCCTGGACTTTTTAGCAAGTCCGTTCTGGGCTATTATCAAGTCCGTCATGGGACCAATATATGGGATTATAGCAAGCAATATATGTCGTTGTAGAAGACATTATATATATATAGGATTACAACTGTCAATATATGAGATGATAACAGCCAGTACATAAGATCACAGTAGCAATATATCATAACATGCCAAGCATTAAATAGGATCAGGATTTAATGCTTATACGACAATAACAAGCATTTAAACAGGATCACACAAGGCAAAAGCTGACTTCATGGGAGTGGAAACTTAGGAGTGGAAAACGAGTGTAGATAACAGTTCAAGTTAGACAAGCTCTCCGTAGACAAGAATATTTGAGTATATGTTTTCTGATCCTATACGTCAAGCCATTTAGTTATAGAGTTAAGAAATAAGGGTTAAGCTTCATAAATGTTCGTAATGGAGGGTAGTCCAACCACTTGGGCTGGACGGTAGAGCCACGGTAAAGCTTCCTGCAGGTCGGCGTTCAATCCCCGACAGTCCGTAAGTAGACGGTCGGGGATTGGACACCATTCCTTCCCACCCTCCCGTCCCATCCCAAATACTTATCCTGATCTCTTCCCAGTGCTATATAGTCGTAATGGCTTGCCGCTTTCCCTTGATATCCCCCCCCCCCTCGTAATGAAGAACTTCGAATTACTCCCATCATGAACCTCGAGTCATTATACTGAATCATTATATGCAATATGAATTAAAACTCTCAAATTACTACACAACGATAATTACGAGTGGAATCATGGAATTTATAATTTAGTTCTGGCGTTATTGAAACCATAAGGTCGTTATATTTTCGACTTTCAGATCATGGCTCTCAGAAAGTTTAGGTCACGCCG